ATCTTGATGTGGTCCAAATTGGGAACCTTCCCAGTCCACATCTCATGAGGTGTTTTGGTAACCTTCTTTGTAGGGACTAGATTAAGGATATGGGCGCAGTCTCTAAGGCATACCCCCAAAAAGAGATTGGTAACGAAACTCGACTCATCATAGAGTGAACCATGTCCAACAAAGTTCGATTACGCCTCTCAGCTACACCATTCAGCTGTGGTGTCCTGGGAGGAGTCAATTGTGAGACAATCCCACACTCCTTAAGATAGTCAAGGAACTCGGTACTAAGATACTCACCACCTCGATCGGATCGAAGCATCTTAATGTTCCTGCCCAATTGATATTCTACTTCCTGTTTGAATTCCTTAAACCTTTCAAAGGTTTCTGACTTATGTTTGATTAAGTAATACCTACTAAAATCATCAATAAAAGTCACATAATACCGATTAGCATCCCTTGTGGCAGTTTTGAATGGCCCACATACATCAGTATGTATTAGGTCCAACAAACCCTCACCCCTCTCACAAGTTCCAGTGAAGGGTGATTTTGTCATCTTTCCAAGTAGACAAGATTCACAACTATCATCCGATTTAAGGTCAAATGATTCCAAGACTCCACTCTTTTGGAGTTGGCCTATGCGTTTCTTGTTTACATGTCCAAGACGACAATGCCACAATGATGCTTTATCTAGGCTAGTAGAAGAATCAATATACAACACATTATTTCCTAAGTTGTCTACAATCGACACAGTTTCATACACACCATCACAAGGTAATGCTTTAAAATAAAACACATTATTAAAGAAAGCATTAATACCACCACATTCATTATCAAACGAAAAGGTAAAACCTTGTTTGTACAAAGCATGAAAAGAAATAATATTCCTCGCCATTTCAGATGAGTACACACATTTATTCAAATCTAATTTTAACCCATTATTAAGCAACAAAGTATAAACTCCAATCTTGGAAACAGGTGAAGCCTTCCTATTCCCCATGATTAAGTTTATCTTCCCGTGCTCCATATCCTCACTTCTTCTTAGGCCCTGCAAATCAGAACATATGTGAATACCACATCCTGTATCAAGCACCCAAGAGTTAGAATATGTTGAGTAATTAGACAATATAGTGTAAATACCTGCATGGGTGGTTTTCACTTTCCCATCCTTTAGATCCTGCAAGTACTTAGGGCAGTTTCGCTTCCAGTGTGCCTTTTCATGGCAATAAAAGCATTCAACATCCTTGGGAATGGCAGAAGGAGTGACAGAACCGTTCTTAGTCTTTGATGAGGAGCCTTCAAGAGACTTTCCCTTGGTACCCTTCGAAGGGTGCTTCCTCTTTTTCCCTTTGCCTTGCCCGATAGCTAAAACAGGGGTAGATGTTGGAGTAGGAGTAGTAGAGGTAACAACCGCTTTACCCTTAAGACCGGTTTTAGCGGTCTTCAAGAGTCCTTGAAGCTTGCTGAGATTAACTTCCTCCTTGTTCATATGATATGTCATTCGAAAATGATCATAACAAGAAGGCAAAGAGTGCAAAATGATGTCAATTGCCAACTCCTCAGGGATGTTAACATTCAGCTTCAGCAAACGGTCCACATACCTTTGCATCTTTTGCATGTGGGCCGTGATGGATTCACCGTCCTTCATGCGGGTAGTTATTATGGAGGAGATTATTTCATACCGCTCCTGACGAGCACTCTGATGGTACCTTTCCATCAGGTCTTGGTGCATCTCAAAAGGGTAGAAATCTTCATATGACTTTTGGAGCTCAGTTGTCATCGTGGCCATCATGATACATGCCACCTTAGTAGCATCTCTCTCATGAGTTCTGAATTCAGCGATCTCCTCAGGAGTAGCAGTAGACTCATCAAGTTCTTTTAACTCCTTATCGAGGACATATTCTTTGTCCTCATAACGAGTAACCATCCTGATGTTCCTAATCCAATCCATGAAATTGGAACCATCAAAGATGACCCTCCCACAAAGATTCATGAAAAGAGAAAGAACCAGTTGGGGTAGAGCCCGAAGCATTAGTGTTGGAAGACATCTGAAAGAAGAGAGTAAGTTTAGATTAGATATATAGGATCCTTAATAAGACACCCAAATGTAATATTAAGGCTAGGATCCAATCACAATATATTACACTTAGAAGAGGGATGTCGTAATCTAAGTAATAATATATTTGAAAGGTAGGTGAATGACGATTCACCAATTTCCACCACGTAAACGAAATGATTTATTAGGTTTAATTGGATTTGAAATTCCTAGATTCTTTTGAGATTCATTGAACTTTCAATGGCATGTTTCAATCTCGATTGTGCCCTTCAAGTTTTGTGACTGGGATGCCGAGGATCACAAAACAAGGTGTGAATAACCATGCTAATTCACTTGGTACCCTTAATATTATCACCTAATCAATGTGCCGGTTAACCACATACGCTCCATTGATCTATGACAAACATTAAGTCACCCTTCGTGATCCTTACTAGTCCTAGTTAGTGTGCCGGTTAACCACACACGCTCCACCAACGACTTGGTAAGGTACAAAGTGTGAATTCCATGGACTAGCACCATGTTCACATTTTTCCTAAGGTAACTAAGATTGGGAATTAAAAGAGTTTAGTTACTTTATAATAATCATTATACTTTTAATGAGGATTTAAAGTCATTGTTCTACCCGTTCGGCTAACGACCCTCCACCGATCAAGCAAGCGGTGGGTGAGAATGGAACCCATTAAGTCGCCATTTTATAGGCAACAACCTTATACCCACCTTATAGACCGGCTTCGTGAATGAGGCCTACTAACGGTAAAACGACTTATTCTTATACATATATATAATAATTAACCATTAATGTTATAAATAGTATAAGGGTTGAATTTTAACTATTAAAACTCTAAGGGTTGGAATTAAAGTTTATTAAAGTGTGTGAAACTTTACAATTCCAAAACTTGAGGGCAAGTTTTGTAACTATGCAAAACTCTTCATTTCATAACTTATGAATTAAAGGTTCATAAAAATGAAGACTCTTCATTTTCATGTAACTTATGTGTTTTAAGTGTGTGTTAAATAAAAGTGACCTTTGGAAATCCATAACTTGAGGACAAATTATGGACTCCATTAAAACACATAAATGATCAAGAATTAATTCTAAACAATTCAGCAAATAATTCCTATCATTTTCTAAATTCATAAGAACATGAACATGATCATCAAAAATTTCAAGAATTATATGAACACATAAAATCATGGAATTTTGATATATGCTATTGTAAATGGATTAGAACAACCATTACACCAACTAAAATAAGTTTTAAAACACCAAAACAGTTTAGGGTAATGTTTCTAGTCCATTTCCAGCAGCAAAAGTCGGAAAAATGCACTCTTTCGATCCTACTCGTCGAGTGCATGAACCTACTCGACGAGTAGGTTGAAGTTTTCCTTGGACTCGTCGAGTCCCCCCCATGGACTCGGCGAGTCCATCATGCAGACAACAACGATTTCGACTTTTTTCACTATTTTGCATCAAGTATCAAACAAGCAAGCCTAGGCTCTGATACCACTGTTGGGTTTTGAGCAATCTAACACTTCCTAAGTGTGCATGCAACCCTAATAAACCTTGGATCTATGTTTGTCTAAATACATGCAAAATAATAAATTTTCCAAGGTTTATAACCTATCTAACATGGCATGGGGAACATTTCAACATAAAAGAGTTAGAAGAGATTACATACCTTTTGATGAGTTTGGTTCTAAGGAGTTTGAGGGCCAAGCACCAATAGTGTGAATGCCCCAAATGGAATCACAAAACACCACAAACTCTTGGAAAACTTTGAGAGAGTATACACACTTGTATAATTTTGGCCACACACAAGCACACACACACTAGTTCACTAGTTCTTCCTTAGGCTCCATTTCATGCTCCATAAGCATGCTTATATAGTGTGCATGGTTAGGGTGAAACCCTAATAACCCATGTCTTTTCCTTTCCAAGGATCCATGGGTTAAAAGCTCCATGGATCATCCATGGACTTCCACATAAGCCTAGCCCATTAAAAAATGAGTATTAGCCCACACTATATAAAACAAATAGCCCATAATCTAATTAGTCTTCCTTTTAATCTCTAAATTAATTCATAATTAATTTAAGACTAAAACTAATTAAATAACGTAACTTCATATTAATATATTATAACTTATAATATATTAATACACATATGTGTATAACTCTCATAAAATTATCCATAATAGTTTGGATGAGATGCAACCCAAATGGACCATGCCGGTCGGGTCAAGTATATACCAAATAAGTTATGGACTTAGACACCTTATCCAACAGAAACATCACGGTCCAGTTATCTTTCTCGATCTTACCCATTTGCATCTTATTAATGTCTTTTGACTTACCACTGGAAGGAATAGTGGGTTACCTCTTCAAAACTGTGGCGATTTCAACATCAAACTTTGACACATCATAAAGGTACAAAGTGCACATTCGTTTTATATGCGCCAGAACAGGTTCATACTTCTTTTTGTCTCTTAGAAGGAAATACAATAAAACAATCCAGTCATAGGGATTTAGGCACAACAGATCAACCATGGAAAACTTGTGAACAACACTTTCGCATGCTCTTGTTGTTTTGAATTTGACATTCACTAAGCTCTCTGTTTCAATTGGCCCTATGAACTTTACAACAATAATCTTTTGTGCACTCCAGGTGAGGTACTGAGGCTTGGCATGGGTTAAGTAGAACTCCATCAAAGATTAATCAATGTTCACATCTGACTGAGGAGCATTCACAGTCGCTTCAAAATTGCGAAAGAGAAATGCTCTTGGAGTGATAGGCATGTCGAACTAAGAATTCAGCGAATTCTACAGATCAAAAGAAGTTACAGGTTCCAACCAATGAATGCTTATATTTTCAACAGCCTCATATATCATCCACTCCAAGGTACACAGTGGAAAGAAAGTCTTTTGACTTTCCAAAGTGACCTGAGCTTCGGGTTCTGCTCACTCCTTTTCTTCGGCTTCTCTCACAATGTGAGCATTTTCATCAAGTATCTGATCATGAGCCTTGCTCTTTAGCTTATCAGCTTTAGTTTCTTCTTCATCTTCGCTTTCCACCAGTTTTTCTTTTCCTTTAGAACCCGAAGCTACATTAACCATTGGTTCATTGAAGACATTCGACTTTTGTTCACCATGAACAAATGCATCAGTAGTGGCCTTCGGAGGTTGTTCTTTGAATGATTCTTCCCCTTGTTTTGGAAGGATGGGGAACTCCGAAACACCCTCAATTTGATTCAGCATGGCAAGAGCATGGGGATACTTCTCAGCCAAATTCCTTCGAATAGTGATTGGAAGTAAAGGATCATGAGAATCAAGAAGATTGGAAAGCAGGGCATTCACATCACCAACACAACTCTTAATAATCGCTCGTTAAGACTTGAGCTCATCGATATCTTTGTTTGCTTGGGCGATTTTGGTAGCCTGAACTTTGACTTTCATTGTTATGGCAGCAAGTTCATCCATAATATTGCTTTCAACTGCCAGATCTTCTTGAAGCTTAACAATTTTTGTAGAGATGGAGGTCTGAAAATCGGTGTTATCCGTTTGCAGACCAGTGTGAAACTGCACAAGAGCTTCTTTTTCATTTTGCAGTGTGTTGTTAAGACCCATGACCACCTCATTTGCCTTTGAGGTATTTGACTCAGCAGATGTCTGTATGGTCGAAATAAATGTCTGAGCACCAGAGAATAGTTTTTTGACTTTTTCGGTCACTTGCTTGCACATTGCAGTTAAGTCAGGCATTGCCTGATTCACCTTTTTTATATTTTCCTGATGTTCTTTCGTCATTGTCAGGAAAAAGGCTTCGATTGTTGCATTAGAATAAACATCACTTGATGAAGCTTTTGAAGAACTGATCAACGAATCCAACTTCTCATTGATAGCTTTGATCTATCTTTGAGTAATAGAAGCATCATCATCACTATCCTCCTGGACTCTGTAGGGACTGTACTAAAAGGATTCGAAATCGAACCCATCCCCTCTAAAAAAAGGTATCTGAATCACCTTGTATCAAAGGAGAGATAGGAGGAGTGGAATGACCAACAGTAAAACCTGAAGCCCTTGCCCCTGCATCATATACGTTGACAGTGATAGGAGGTTCACTGGTTATGGTCGTGGTAGTGGTGGTGGCAGTAGAGTCCGTGAACAAAGGAGTTGAAGGAACAAGAGTGGTTTGAACTTGCAAACTTATAGGGGATGGACACAGTGCAGTAGTGATGGGTACTGTAGAAGCATTGGGAGACGGAGGAGGTGTTTGGAAGAAAGCATCTGTAAATTGTACCTCTGGGTTCGTAGTGACTGGTGTTGAGACTGGTGGTTGCGAACTCTGAGCAGTTTCATCAAGATGTACAGTCTCCTCAACATGAATGAGAATGTCAGAGTGAGTAGTAAACTGTGAAGCTTTGCGTTGACTTGGATTTGGAGTTTTGGGCTTGCGAGAAACCTTCTGTATCTTTCGCTTTTGTGTTGGAAAAGGAGCTGGTCCAGAATAGCCAGCATGTACCTTTCGTTTCTTGAAGGTTGGAGCGGGTGTTGAAGTACCTTCCTTTGCAACTTTCTTCTTTCATCCTTTCTTAGGCTTATCAGCTTCTTCTAACTCCGTTCGTATCTCATTAGTTAATGGACGAAAGCCTGAAATTGGAAGTTTTATGTAAGCTTCAAGTATCTTGCTTGTTGAAGGAACATCACGAAACATGGCTTCAGGAATGGAGCCAACAAATGAGAATTTTGAGTTGTCTGTAATAATGATGTTTGTAGTGTGGAAGATTGAAATGGAAGGCATGAAGGAATATTGCATCACTAGAATCTAGAACTTTTCAATTGCCCTTTGAACCACCATTGTCCATAAGCGAGCATAGGAAATTTCACTGTGTCGATTTGTAGAATGGGTACTTTGGACCAACTGGGCCCAAAGAACTGCTCCAAAATCAATATTGACGCCCCGTATAGGTACCATACATGATGGTCATGAATAGCTTACTAGCACAATTGGATCCAGTCACACGCTCAGAGAAGCTTTTGAACAACAAGGTAAAAAGCCCATTCCATTGAGGTGGCAGATTGGGTTTTTTGAACTTTGAGATGGTAGTTATGGGTTCTTTGTACCCCATTTGGTAGAACATCTCCATGATTGCAACGATGGAGACGGGATTAGGGTCGATCATATCATCAGTCTGAGCAAACCCTATTAAGGAGCAAAATCGGGATTTGGTGATGGACGTTTTCCTATCGTGAACCTCGAAGGGGATCCTTTTCTCTTCCTTGATGTAGTAGGCAGACGAGTAGGCCTTTGATAAAATAGATAATAAGAATTGAATCACCAAAATCCCTTTATATGATTTGTTTGGAGAGAGAAATCCGGACGTATGGTGTATCAGTTACTGAGAAGTCACCTAAAAAGATGTGATTAACAACTGTTACGTCACTCATGCTTCTCAGGAGGTGGTAAAGTAGATGTCATTTCAAATTTCACACGCCCATTTGAATTCCTATCAATGAAAAATTGGCGCGTCAACTTTACCTATTTCACAATTTGAGCCTGTTATCGCCATTCACATTAAAACCGGTTAAGCTCTTTCACATCAAGGGATAGATACGAACCTTCACAATTGTTTTACGATTATGAAAGTAATTGTGAGTACCACGAACTAGACTTCGTAAAATCACAAGGATCTTCGTGCTAAAGTGTGCCAAAGATAAAGAAATAAATCGACAATATATTATGGGATTCTAATGATGTCTGATAAGACACAAAACTGTTGGATCCCGGGCATAAATCTCTTCCTTCGAAGTGAAGAGAGACTAAGAAGTGTCTGTGTGGTTTCCCGTTGAATTACGATCGGTTGTTTGATAAGAAATAGTGAAAGGCATCTTTTCTTTAGGCTTGCAGGGTGGCTTCATCTTCAAACAAACTCCAAAACTTGATATAAGTATGAACATTCGTATGAAGTACTTGTGTGACCAGTGTAGTCAATTGAACAAGTATGCTTTGGAATTATTTTAGTAGCCTGGATATAAAGAAATCTCAAGAAAAATAAAATTGGATCTATTGGGAAGAAATGTCTTAGGACAAGAGCATTTCATTAAGATCTCGCAAAAGAAAAAGAGATTTCATGGTACAGACCACGAACGTGGACTTTCGTCAATTTCATGGTCAAAAGTCTAGAACCGTTAATTGTTCACCGTCAATTCATAAGTATGTATTGGATTTTAGGTTTCACTTAATTCGTGGTGGTAATGAAATTTAAGATCATTAACTCAGACATTGTGTAACCATAGACCTTAGTGGTAATAACTAAGAGTCTCAAGCGATACCTTCGTGAAGGAGAAAGTGATGGAGAAATATTGAAGGTAGTTCCAGAGAAATGGTGTACCTCTGCTATATGAAAGTGACCAAGCAGACAACTCTTTACTCAATGTGAGAAGTGTAAGGTAGCTCATGACTTATGTGAATTCATAGCCTAATTGGGAAGAAATGATTGGTATTATTGATTCATTAAGGCTTCAACATAGAGTCTAGGAGGCTTCAGTCAACATGCTTCTAGGGACACTTAGCTAGTTCATAAATAAATAGATTTATACATGCCCCATGATTCGTGATTGAAAAGTAAAGATGTTTCCTTCAAATCAGCACAATTATCTAATATTTTTGATGTTTTTAGTTTTTTGGAAAAAGAAATAAAAACAAAAATAAATATTTTTGGATTTTTGATTTTCCTTAAAAAACAAGGAGTAAAAACAGAAACAAGTAAAATGTTTTTGTATTTTGGTATTCTAAAATGAAAATAAAAACATAAATATACAACAAACATAAGGATACAAGAAGCTCTGAATCACACATGGACAGTGAACTACGAACCATTGCGAGCGTTCACACCCATTCACAGGACAAAGGATGACTGTGAATTTTTACGAGCTTTCGCACCAATTCGCAAGTCACTAAAAGTTCTACATATGCAAAAGTGGTTTCGGAACCGATTCAGCCTCTATCATTCCTAAGCCTTGAAGAATACGATTGAAGGTAGGTTCAAGTAAGGCTTTTGTGAAGATGTCGGCCAACTGATCAGCGGATCTTACGAAATGTATCTCAACGTTACCATCTTCCACGTGATCTTTGATGAAATGATACCTAAGTGCTATGTGTTTCATCTTCGAGTGTTTCACTGGGTTATGAAAAATGTGAATGGCGCTTTTAGAGTCGCAATATAAGGGGATTCGCTTCATGTTAATGCCATAGTTACGAAGTTGACTTTGAATCCAAATGACCTGTGAAGTGTAGGAGGTAGCAACTATGTACTCTGCTTCAATAGTTGAGAGGGATACACAAGTTTGCTTTTTAGATTGCCAACTCACGAACTTGCCATCCAGAAATTGGCATCCTGCCATTGTACTCTTTCTATCCAGACCACATCCTCCAAGATCAACATCCAAAAATGATTGTATGAAGAAACCTAAGTTTGATGAATACCATATGCCTAGCGAGGAGGTTCGTTTTAAATACCTAAAAATATTCTTGACAACTATCATGTGGGGTTCTCGAGGATTATCTTGGAACCTAGCAGAATAACAAACGGAAAACATAATGCGTAGTCGACTAGCTGTTAAGTACATCAATGATCCTATTATCTGACGATAAAGAGTCATATCAAAAGCTGGTTTTTCTAGAGATGGTGTTAGTTTCGTTCTGAATGCCATTGGAACCTTCACTTTTGATTCTCCCTCCATTCCAAACTTAGTGAGCAAGGTCTTTATGTAGGCATGCTGGTTGATAAAGATACCTTCTTGACTCTATATTATGTTCAAACCAAGGAAAAAGTTAATTGGACCCATGGAACTCATCTCAAACTTAGTTTCCATCAACTTTCAGAATTCAGCTGTTAAGCTGGGGTTAGTAGATCCGAAGATGATGTCATCAATATAAATTTGGACAATCATCAAGTGGTCACCATCTTTCTTTTGAAAGAAGGTCGAGTCAACTGATCCTTGTTTAAATTTAGTGTTGGGTCAAAAACATGGTATATACTTTGCTTTTCTAGGAGATTGTAATTTTCTGTAATATTTTATGATTTTACGGTCAGGAAGTGTGTTTACGACTGTAAACAGAGTTTACGACCGTAAACACGTTTACGACCGTAAACCCATTTAAAGGCCCATGTTTCCCGTGTGTATATATAGGGGTGAGGGGTGTGAGGAAAAGGGTGATGAACACTAGAGGAGCTTAAGTGTGTGCATTTGAAGGTGTTCTAGAGTGAGAGAAAAGAGAGTGTGTGTTAGTGTGTGTGAATCTTGTATACGGATCTTCATTCATATCAATACATACAAGCTTCATTATTTTCTTCTTCTCCTTCTCTTCTTATTGTGATCTGACATCATCTGTTTGATTGGGATTCCGCACCATCAAACGGATCTGATTGGTACACAGGCATATTTGGGGACTTACAATTGGTATTAGAGCTTGGTTGTATCAATCAATTTTTTTAGATCTGGAGCTTATTTGATCTTATTTTGAAGAGATTTTTGCGTTTTTGGATAGATCTCGCAAAAATAAGGGAGGTTTGTTCTTCGCGTTTTTCCTAAAAATGAGTTTTTGATCGAGTTTTGGAGCAAAAAGGGTGAAAAAACATTGTTTTTCATCAAGAACAACGATTTTTGGAGAGTTTACGGTCTTTGAAGGGCTTACGGTCCGGAGTTTACGGCCGGAAACAGGTCGTCGGAGTTTGCTGCCGGCGGTTTACGGCGGCGGT